ATTATTTTATTGAATTGAGATAGTCCCAAAACTGAGCTGAAGGGATGTAGTTCCCTATTTATTCTTCTCTCCTTCTGTTGTGCCAAGATCTACAATGCCACAGTCAGGACTCAGAAAACATGGCTGGATCAAATTCTCATATTCTATCAAAGATCCCATCAGAGTAGCCTGCTGAATAGGTACAAGATTTGAGCTGGTCCAAAGTGAATTGTGTGAGCCAAGACTGCTGGCCTTTAAATAACTAAACAGAAAAATATTATTTTGCGCAATAACAATTGCATTTATTAAAATAAACTATTGCTTATCTTGTAGTGCAGCATATTTTGATTATTAAGAGGAAAGATAGAGGTTAAGCTTCTATGCTTAATTTTAAGTTAGGGTTATTAGCATTATATAAACTTGTTTGAGCTGGGTGGTCATAGAAATTGAAAAAAAATAAACATTAGGTTTATATTCCTTTCACTGATTGAACTCCACTGATTTTGGAGTCTCATGTTTTAAATGTCTGGCTTGCTCCCAGTAATGTAACTCTGGACTTCAGCCAGGTATGATTTAAAGCAGGGGAGTCCAACCTTGGTAACTTTAAGACTTGTGGATTTCAAATCCCAGAATTGCTGGGGAAGGCTGCCTGGGACATTCTAGGAGTTGAAGTCCATCAGTCTTAAAATGTCAAGGTTGGACACCCCTGATTTAAAATGAAAAGAAGGGATCAGAGCACAGCAGTGCTTCCCAAGACACTTCCCTGTATTATCTGTGCACAATTTGAAGAAAGTCTCTTTCCCAAGGGAGATTTATAGCAACCCGAGAAGCTGCTTGAAGTTCACACAGGAGAGCTAAGCATTTCTCTTGAGAAAGAGCTTTTCCTCACAATGTGGTGGGACAATAATAAATGGAACAGGACATCCAGCAGCTGCCTTTTGTTTTTTTTTCCACCGCATTTTGACTGGCAGCTGTTTTTTCAACCTCCTCCTGTTGTTGTTGTGAAAGGGAAGAAATCACCCTGTTTTAATTTTGGAATGAAAATAGTGGATCCTGATTGGAGTACAGGTAGTCCTCGACTTACAACCGTTTGTTTAGTGACCGCTTCCACTGAAAAAAGTGGCTCGTCACCATTTTTCACACTTATGACCATTGCAGAATGGTTACATGATCAAATTCAGACACTTGGCAACTGGCATGTACTTATGATTTTTTACAGTGTCCTGAGGTCATGGGATCACATTTGCAACCGTCTGACAAGCAAAATCAATGGGGAAGCCAGATTCAATTAACACCTTTGGCTAGAAAGGTTGTAAAATGAGACAAAACTTGGTCAACAACTGTCTTGCTTAGCTAGGAAAATTCTGAGCTCAGTTGTGGTGATAAGTTGAGGACTATATTCCAAAATAATAACTGAGGTTTGAACTTCCCTCCCATTCTCACCAGGTGAGAATTTGGAGTTTGCAAAAAAAGCTGGCAACAAGTTTAAACTCATAGTTTACACATCTCCCTCTGACAGCTATCACTTCTTCATTTGCTTAAAGGCTGATTTCTTCCTCATGCGGATTTCTGCACTAATCTCCATTTACCTAAGATGTCCAACTCCTGCTAAGAGCTTTCCTTTTACTGAATTAGCCTGGCTCCCTTTCCAGATCTGGGTGCAGTTTGGTTTGAACAATCTCCCTGGAACTAGTTTCATACTAGAAAAAGTGCAGGAAAGAGGCGTCGTAAAGGCAATAGTTCGATCTAGTGGTTTAAGGGCCTAAGAAACAGGAGATTGTGAGTTTTAGAAAACAGGAGATTGTGAGTTCTAGTCCTGCCTTAGCCATGAAAGCCAGCTGGGTGATTTTGGGCCAGTCACACTCTTTCAGCCCTACCAACTTCACAGGGTTGTTGGTGGGGGGGAGGACAACAGGAGGAGGAAGCAGTTTTAGATATGTTTGCCACCATGGGCTGCTTGAAAAAAAATAATAAAGGTGAGATAGAAATCAATAAAAATAAAAATCGTAACCATCAGAGTGATGAATAGTCTTTCCTATGAGGATTTTAAAGGAAAGTGTATCTTTATTATTGGAGGGGGGCAGGATGGGGGCAATTAAATGCAGGAAGACATTTTGTTGCTATCTTTGTTTTTATGAAGAGCCCTCTTCCTTCAGGAGTGATCCATTGGGTGGTGCATGGTATCCGTGGATTGATCCACAACCAGATGGGCCTGTCTTTAATTCTCTGTCTCTGCCTATCTTGTCCCCTTTAATATCCCCCTTTCCCCCCTTTTCTCTTGTAAGTTGTAGTCCTCCACTTACGACCACAATTGAGCCCAAAATTTCTGTTATTAAATAAAACATTTGTTAAGTGAGTTTTGCCCCATTTTACGATTTTTCTTGCCCGAGTTGTTAAGTGAATTGCGGCAGTTGTTAAGTGAGTAACGCGGTTATTAAGTGACTCTGGCCTCCCCCATTGACTTTGCTTGTCAGAAGGTCACAAAAGGTGATCACATGGCCCCTGGGACACTGCAACCGCCATAAATGTGAGTCAGTTGCCGAGCATCTGAATTTTGATCATGTGGCCATAGGGACCACTAAATGAATCATTGTAAATCGAGGACTATTCTGTATTCCTTCTTGTATTTCAGAGGTGGGCCTAGAAAGGAAGAGTGAGCAAAGGAGATAGGTAGTCCTTGATTTATAACAGTTCATTTAGAGAGCGTTCAAAGGTACAACAACACTGAAAAAGCGTCTTACGACTGTTTTACACACAACCATTGCAGCATCCCCACAGTCAGTGATCAAAATTCAGATGCTTGGCATCTGGCTCCTGTTTATGATGGTTGCAATGTCCCAAGGTCATGTGATCCCCTTTTGGGACCGTCTATCAAGCAAAGTCCATGGGGGAAGCCAGATGCCCTTAACAACCGTGTTATTAATGTATTATTAACTGTGTTATTAACTCTATTGAGTCATTTAATAATTGTGACAAGAAAGGTCGCAAAATGGGGCAAAACTCAATCATCTCGTTTAGCAACAGAAATGTTGGGTTCTATTTTGTTCGTAAATCGAGGACCACCTATATTGTGCATGTAAAATAGAAGGCAGGGAGAGCCAGGGGAGCGTGGGGGAATTGAAAGAGTCAAGATGGTATCCACAACATGTGATCAAAACCCCGCCTTTTAAGATGGGTGTTGTGAGGCAGGGATTCAGTTGCATGATTGTACAGGAACTGTGGCTAACTCAGTTCCCAGATGTGGCAATGTCGAAAGGTTCAATTTTCTCCAACAAAGATGCCAGTTTCACGCCAATGCACCCCCCCCCCCAGAACTGCAAATAGTGTAGTTCTATATGGTTTCACTTGACCAGGTCTATTTGGGCTACTAAATTCCGGATTTGGCAGCTGGACCCAGAGTCTCCGTGGAACTAGAGATATTAACTTTTCTTGACCAGGAAAGCCAGCAAGAAAGTTTGTTTCAAACTGAGTAATAATCATTTTCCTAGCAAAGAGTTTAAAAGTACCATTTTGAAGAGCAGATGAAAGAGAACTAGTCTTTTCTACAGTATTCTTCAGGCAGCTTCCCAGATAACTGTACAGCTTAATAAAGTATACACGACTCTTTAGAAATGAACCATAAACTATTGTTTAATCTGGGTATGGCTAATCTAGAGCAGGGCTTTTCAACCAGTGGTATGGGCTTTTCAACCACTTGTGGTACATTGGCACCTGGCAGGTGGTACGCGACCATCCTAGAAAAGTGGTAGCAGGGAAGGGTAATGAGCTGAACCGGTGGCAGCACCGCACAAGCCTGAGCGAGAGACGGCTGGAGCTGCAGGGCTGTCAGGGCTCAGCAGAAGCGCCAGGATCAGCGTCGCTTTCCAGCTGATTGGTTCTTCTTTGGGGCTGTCAGGGCTCAGTGGAAGCGCCAGGATCAACGCGAGGCTCCAGCTGGAGCTCGGCGCTGATCCTGGTGCTTCTGCTGAGCCCTGAGGAAGCACCAATCAGCTGGAAAGCAGCACTGATCCTGACGCTTCTGCTAAGCCCAGAAAAAGCGCCAATCAGCTGGAATGTTGCAGCATCTCCAGGGTCTTCTGATTTACATTCAGATGTGTGGCAACTGATTCTTATTTATGACAATCACAGTGTCCCAGAGTCATATGAAGTGACCAAAACCTGCTGCAACCACCTCGCAGACGGGGGAAATAAAAACCAAACACCCCCACCTCACCCCTGCTGCCAATCCTCAACAGAAATGCTCACAACAATGAAAACCTCGAACAGGAGGAGGAGCACTGCTGGGTGGGCAGGCAGGTGTCTTGCTCGGCTGTGGCTTGGGGGGCACTTTTTTCAGTGCCTTTGTAACTTCAAACAGTCATTAAGCAAGGACTACCTGTATTTTATCACTTTTTTCCTTTTTTTTTTTTTTTTTTGGTTATCAAGTTTTTGACACCTTGCTAGGCGACTGGTAGTACTCGGATGTTGCCATATCCTGAAAGTGGTACAATGGGTGAAAAGGTTGAAAAGCCCTGCTCTAGAGAAAGGAAGGACTAGGGGTGACATGATACTAGTATTCCAGTATTTGAGGGGCTGCCACAAAGAAGAGGGGGTCAACTTGTTTTCCAAAGCACCAGAAGGCAAAAGAAGAAACAATGGTTGGAAACTGATCAAAGAGAGAAGCAACCTGGAATTAAGGAGAAACTCCCTAACAGTGAGGACAATTAACCAGCGGAACAGCTGGCCTTCAGAAGTTTTGGAGGTTTTTAAGAAAAGAATGGACAGTCACTTGTCTCAAGTTGTATAAGATCTCCTGCTTGAGCAGGAGGTTGGATTAGAAGACCTCCAAGGTCCCCTCCAGCTCTATTCTGATCAATCTTTTAGGTACTAGAAGGTTAAACATTAAAATCATTGTATTGCCTTTTTCTATGTTGTGATCCTACCTTCAATGACCATTACTGTAACAAGTTATTATTATTGATTCTGTCTTATTGTCTTTTCTTATTGTCTTTGACTGCTTATTTTTTACATCTTATTTTCAGCTGGAGTTTTATTTATTTTTCCAGCAGCTGTTTGGGGTACCATGCTTGAAATGGGAAAAAAGGGTGATCATCATTTTAAAATAAATGAATGTATAGCAAAAAAAAGAAACACGGAGAGCCCGTTTGGTTTAGTGGTGAAGACAGCAAGAGACCATGAGTTCAAGTCCTGCCTTAGCCATTAAAAACCAACCAGTCACTCTTTCTCTCAGCCCAACCCACCTCACAAGGCTGCTGTTGTGGAGAAAATAGAAGGAAGGTGTGTTGGATATGCTCACCTCATTGAGTTATTTGTAAAAATAATAAAGGTGTGGTACAAATAAATATAAAATAAAAATAAATTAGCTGCACTGGAGAGAACCTTAAACCTTTAACTCCTATAATTAAGATTAAAGTGTTTCTTTATGGCTTTTTGTATATTTCTCCTCAGAGAAAGATCTATATATAGATTCTTCCCTAACCCTATGACATAGCTCTATCTGTAAAATTCAAACAACATATATACACCAAAGCACATATATTTTTATGAAATGCCTCTTGGGGAGAGTTAAAAGTGGAGAAACAACATGGTATATTTATTTTTTTCCCACAGCTGCCTTTTTCACTAGAATTCTCTGCCCACCACAACTGCTTACCTTTCCTTCCTACATGTCATTAATCTTGCAAAGAGGCATTTAACCCTTCCTGGGACTCCAGGGTATGGGTGTGGGAAACAACTAGGGAGTGTAAATTTGAGAACAAAAACATCAGAGGAAGAGTTAAGCTTACACACACATATGCATGCTGTTTTTCTGCTGGAAATCTAAAGCTACCGCATGTGGGCTGCGATAATCTGGACAGCAAGAAGATAATTTTCTGAATGTTTTCACTATTACCTAAAGGTTTTTGCAAACCAGGTTTGTCCATACTGATTCCCCTTAGAATGCACAGCTTTACACTTTTTTAGATGTATTTTTAATGTACGGTGTGCAGGGTGGCATACAGAGTGTTGACAACGTATGGTAACGTCAAGATGGTGGCTACCATAGCACAATCAAAGCTCCACCTAAATAGTCACCATCAGCTCTTTTGACCATGCCCTGCAAATACCCCTGGTTTCCCAAGTGTCAAGAAAGAAGCCATGTATTGTAGCTTTGCAAAACAGAATCCATGGAATGGCGTTTACTTCCGATAAGCACTGAAACATTTCTCTGGAGTTTGCAGCTGGCAGAAACCAAGGGAGCAAACCAAGCTGGTTTGCCAAGCTGTTTGGGAAAGTTGTTTGCTTCCAGTAGGCAGGAAATGATCAAACTGCTATTTAAAATGCTAATTACAGGTTGCACCTAAAACAAAATATGCCCTGATAACAATTCCCATACCATTGGAAGATTTCTGTTCTTTCTAACTCAGAGGGGGGAAAAATGAAAGCCTCAACAGTTTCTTAAGTTATATCAAATGCAGAGCCATCCTTAAATAATTTTAAACTCTTGAGTGCAGACAATTCAAATGGTGCATTGAGGAGAAGGGAACACATTTCTTCACAAAAGAAATTGTTGCCATTTATTCTATTATATTTACAGTCAAGAGCTTTCAGGGAACCTGCTTGCTGGCTAGGCAGTTCCTAAGTTTCTTTTATGCAAGGGCCAGAAGTTGTAACTCAGTTGGTTTAAATGCATTTAAAAGCATTGGAGAAAATGCGGGCAAACTTGTTTGGATTTTAATGCGCTGAAAAAAAGTGCCCCTCATTGTAATTGCTTGGGGCTGGAGGAGGGGGAGAATTCTTTATAGATTGAGAGAGAGGGAAAAAAGCAAATTGCTTTCAGTTTCCACAGTGGCCTAGGTTAGTTCTAATTTCACATTTGCTCTTAGTTCTCTGAGGCCTTTGGAGAATAAAAGCTTCGTGGCAGGGACTAAAAACACCATACTGCAAGAAGCACATTCAAAACTGATATCGCAAACTTTGACGTGGGTGCTTCCAAACAAGATTTGTGCCGTGATCAATACCGTAATACACAAACAAGCAGAACTTGCAAGCACCTTATCCAGAAGAACAAGAAATGACACGGACAAAACAGGTAGTTCTTGACTTATGACCGTTTGTTTAACAACACTTCAAAAGTTAGAATGGCCTCAGAAAAAGTGACTTATATAGCCTGTACACCCACTTATAATATTTGCACCACCCTCGGCATCATGGGATTCTAACTTGAGCACTTGGCAACCAGCTTGTGTTTATGACAGGTGGTATGGTCCTGTGATCAGATGATTGCAATTTGCTACTTTTTTTAAAAAAATAATTTCCAGCAAAAAAATGCCCATTGGGAAAATTGGGTTTGTTTAACGACCTGTGATTCACTTAACAACTGCCGTTAAATTGGCATACAGTTGGGTCTAGCTCAACTTATGATCTCGATGACTACTGACAAAAATTCCATTCCCAACAGTGGTTGTAAATAAAGGATTTATATACGGTCAACTGTATATAATGGTCTGCACATATGGCGTACCATTTTGCCAAGAAAGGAACAATGGGTGAAACTTAGGAGGATTGGCGGGCAGAGTTAGGCTAGGCTTAGCTAGCAGTGCCTGCCAACAGTGCTTCCCCTTTTCTCACCTTAATTGAACCGAGATTGTGATATGCGAAGTGGGGCAGGTCTCCTAATTCCACACGCAGAAAAATGGGAGGGATGCTGGAGAGCTCCATGGGTTGCTAGGTGGCATGTACACCAATTTCCTCTTTCGTGACAGCTGTAGGCAAGGGAAGTACGCTTCAGAGTCAATGGAGCTTGAAAGGAAAGAGATGAAACCAGTTCTCTGCAAATATCTGTGAGATGCCATTCTTTGGGCTGTATTCCACTGTTCCCCGTCAGAATACTCTTGCTAAATCCCACTAGTTACAAAGATCAAACTGTAACAAAAGAGGATGGGGAGGGAGAGGAAAAACCCACTTGAAATGGACAGTGGAATGAGAGTCTTCAAAGTTTACAAGTCTTTCCAACTGCTTTCCAAGGGAGCGTGGTTGGAATTGCATGGTTTTCTATTGCAAAGTAACCGGGCTGGCCGAGGACCAACTGTCCTGTCTGCTTCCCTTCCTGTTTCAAGAGCGGCCTGCTGTTCTGTTCTGAGCAGCCTGGGTTTTTTTTTTTTTTTTTTTTTGCTATGAGATATTGACAACATCCTGGTTTGTTTCACTTTGAGTGTTTTTTCTTGCTGCGTAGAACTTGGCATAACTTTGGTGCTCTCATGGATGCTACCGCTTGTTGCCCTTGAGAGATTTCCTTGGACTGCGTCACTGGGACAAAAACACCCTGGATCTGGGCTCTTTGGTAAACACTGGAGTAATGCAAAACAAAGAAAGACGTTGAAAAATAATTGCAGGGAGGGTAGCTGGGTGAGGGGGGGGGAGAGAGGATAAGGGAATCTGACAGGAGACTTTTCATTTTCTCCTGCCAGCATAAGGACACGTTGACTGGACTCCCCATCATACAGGTAGAGTTTGAGAATGCTGCTTCATTGATCTGGAATCAAGGGCAGATGTTGCCCACTCTTTCTCCTAAGATACAAGGCGTTTTCCTCTTCTTGACATCACCTGATTATGGGCATCAGGCAAAGACAATCCAGCTTGGTCTAAAGATCTGCCCAAACAAGGAAAAGGAAAAAGCACTATCAAGGTTTAAATCGGGCTGAAGGTGAGAGAGGGTTGGTGTGATTGGGGAAACACTGGAGTTCCCAGCCTATGCAGGTAACTCAATAAATCTCTTCTGAGCAAAGGTGACAGTGTGTGTAACACTGAAGGGAGTTTGTCATTGCCCAGGCTGTGCAAGCCACACAACAGAAACGAAAGGAAACGCCTGGGAATTACACAGCGTAAGTAAAGTTCTGGCAGAACTTTAGAAGGCTATAGAAGTGATGCTTGTTCAGCAAACCCCTTTACTCCTTTTCCCATCCTCACCTTGTCTAAATCGGGGGCTCCCAAACTTGGCAACTGTGAGACGTGGGGGACTTCAACTCCACTTAACATGGCTGGCAGGGGAATTCTGGGAGTTGAAGTCCACACGTCTTAAAGTTGCCAAGTTTGGGAAACCCTGGTCTAAACAACCCTAGCTTTGCACCATTTCCTGAAATGAGTCTGTGGAGCTTCAGACAGTGTGAGACTTTGCAGAGAACTGCTTGTTTACTAGAGAAAAGAAGAAAGATCTGTAGGGATCTCATGCTGCTCTCAAACCACATATTGTCTGCTTGGGGTCAGAAAGCTTTGAGATCAGTCGCTCGATACAGCTTTAGTGAGATGCTTCAAAGGAATATTTGTATGCTTGGCGAGGCACAAGATGCCAAGAGTTTTGCTGCCAGCCGTTAAGAGGTTGATATAATTGGCATCCTGAGTCACACACAATAAGAAGCCAGATCTAGGCACCCTGAGGCTCCCCCTGGTGTTTTGGATACCAGCTCCAACAGCTTAAGCCACTGTAGCCAATCGTGGAGACTGGTAGGAGTTTTAACTCCAAAGTTTATGCAGGGACAAGGTTCTTTATTCCCCCATTAAGCCTGGATGTGGTTTGTTTGTTTCTAATGATTTGTGGGTATGGGTGTGTGAATCAAGGCACAGCAGCTCATTGAAGAAAACATAGTTTTAGCATTATGTTTGGACATGTGAAAGCAGCCAAAGTGTAAAGTTAAAAATCAGGAGGAGAAATAAGCGTATTCAGACAGCGAAGCTCCCAGATGAGAGAATCCTGTCCATTGTCTGAGGACTCTCAAGCCAGCTCACTTCAGATGAGCCATACTTTGGCTCATACCTGTAGAGGGCCATACCTTGGACTCTTCATCTGGACCTGTCCATTCAAAGTCCAGCTCTGAATGATTCCAAATGTTTTTATCTGCTAAAGTGCAAACAGTATTTCTCACAGTAGCTAGTCCTTTGAATGATCTCTCCCCAGCAGGGATTGAGTCACCTTGAACAGGGCTGCCAGGCAGTTATCAGGAGATGCAATAAGGACAGAGGATTATGTGCCCTTATCACTATGATGTAAGCCCAAATATGGGTTCTTACCTATGCTAAGATTCACTCTCATCTTCCTCCAATGGTGCTTTAGGTGTCTTTCATGCACTTTATTTTGCAGGGCTGTTCAGTAGACCAAGGTGCAACGTGGAGACTACCAGGACCTTCAGATCTAACAAGCCCTCTCTCCTCATGAGGTGAGATGACATCAGTGAGCTAAAAAGTGATCTGTCCACAACAACAGACTAATGACAATGCCTTCCAAAGCAGCATCATGTGGCAACTGCTCCATGCTGAAGACAGTCTAATATCCGGCACGTAGCGTGTGCTGGGTACATAATGACCTAGAACATATCCATAATTGTCATGGATGTCACAAATCCCTGAGGTAAGCCATACTCAATGTCACCAGGCAGCAAATAATCCCTTGTGGGTTGGTTCAGGGATTTGTGGGCACCATGACAATTATGGACATGTTCTAGGTCATTATGGGCCCAGCATGTGCAGAGCACCACCAGTCTTGGCGTCTCTGTTGCCAGCCCAGCAATGGAATCCAGTAAGACAGGGATGATACTGGGTAGCAGGAGGCCAGTTCATCAGCAACAATCCTGTTTCCTAGAGGCCCACTTCGACCAAAGACCTCACATCTGGTTATCTGTGGAGCAGAGCCTCTGAAATCCTACAACTCAATGGATAACTACTATGACCACACCTCTCCTCCCTTGGCGAGAGCTGATGCCAAACCCCAAACCCAGATGGCCACTTTTGCAAGAGGAGAACATCCCCTCTAGGTAGGGCCACTAAAGCCCAGTTGGCTACCTCATCCTCAGCCCAATTGTGGATGAAGGAAGATTGATTACAGACTGACCTGCCATTAAACACCATCAGGTGGAGTCCACCACCAAGGATCCAATATCCTGGTTTTGAGTGAAGAACCTGGGGCTGGTCGTCAAGAATGCTGTCAGCAAGGGAGCCCAATGTTCCCAAGTGCAGCCCACCCCAGGATCCTATCATATCTCTGCCCATCATGGTTCCTATGTTCCTACCATCTCCTCTCCACCTTCTCATTTCCCTCCCACTCCTTGCATCTTTCTTCTTCTAGGCAAAGGTATCCATGCACCCCCATGCACCACCCAGACCACCAAACAACCACTCATCTAACCATCCTCAACACTTCCAGTTATCACAGTAAGCCTCCCCCCCCCCCTTTCCTCTTTGGTCATATGTTGTGTGGCACACATTAATGTATGGGGCATTATGACAGCCTCTCCAACACAGCACCAAACCAAAATCTCCCTCCCCCCCTCCAAACACAAACATACCAATAAACAATGGGGGAGGCAGCAAAGAGAAAGTTTCTCTATCTCTTTGGTTGCCATCTAGCTATCATCCAAACATTTGCAGCTCAGATATGGCAACTCTGATTTCATGCAACTTTCCACACATTATCAGACTGGCAAGAAAGCTCTTGCAACCTGCTGGCTTTCTGTAGATGATTTTTGTGGGGAAGAAAGTTTGCTCTCCTAAATTAAAAAAAAATGGCCATTAAATAAACAAACTAACAAATATGTCTGGCAGCTCTCTTCTTTGGAGCTTGAAAACAGGTGAAGGGCCCAATTCTGCTCGAGCTGCTCTCTTTCTCCTCTAAGATGAGCTTTGCAAAGGTGGTTTCTTACTACCCAGAGTAGGTCAGATGGCTCATCATGTGCAGCCCCCTCCGTTTATTTGGCTCTGCAGCCAAGTGGCAGATCGTCAGCATGGGCAGCTGGCCAGCTGCTTTCCTCAAACCTTGGGTCAAGGCAGTTCACCAGGGAGCCTTGTTTACTTCGTGTGGCTTTTCAGCAACCGGCAGTGAATGGCTACAGGCTGGGAAACTGTCCCAAGCCCAGAGGACTGGAGAGGGACTGACCCAGGACATTCAGTTTCATGAACTCGTTTTGGGGGTTTTGTTCACTTTTGCACTGCGTAGACATTACTAAGCATGACAAATGATGAGTGCTTCTGCTAAATCATGTGCTTTTGAATAATGCAAAGAAAAGTTTGCAGCAGAAGGAGCAAGGAGATAAGAGCACCACGTGTGATGGACTTTCATGTGGATCCTGGACCTGTGGTGGTGGCTGCGAAGAAACAAAACGATTGGGTAGTTCAGGCCAGTGCAGCAGCTTCTGTGATTACAGCAGCGTAGAGGACAACTTGATCCCCTGGAGCATGAAACAGCATTTTTTTTCCTCCACAAAATACATGGTGTACATTGCGCAACTCGCTTATATCTTATTTCCCTTCATTGCAATTTTGCAGGTCCTGTATTGTTGCAGGGCATTTATTCACCCTTAATGCAGGGCATTTCAAAGTCTCTCTCCCCCTCCCACGGAAAAGACCCCTCTTATGCCCCAGAGCTGCATATGCAAGAACTAAAATGTAGGACATTTACATCACATTCGGTAACCATTTCTACCACCCATGTATAACGCTTCAGTTCAGCAGCTTGACAACCACACCCCCTTGATTGCATGTTGCCAGGGATGCTGGTAACTTCAATACACCATTTCCTTGGTATCTTTTGCACATTTCACAGGGCTGGTTTTTTTTTTTTTTTTTTGGTCACCAGACATTTTTAGGAGAAACTCATTCTTGTGCAAGTCTCTCATCCTTTGTTTTTGAATGGAGAAACCGCCTCTTCACTATGCTTGCTAAATGTGCATACTACGAAAATGATTTAGAAGAAGTGCTTGGAATTTTAGATTCCTGGTATCTGGCTTAACACGTACATGTCGCTTCTCAGGGGTCTCTCGTTTTCAGGATGCCCTGCTTTAATTATTTACTCATTAAAGCTGCTGCAACTCCCTCCTTCTCCCTCATCATGCGGAAGTCTGAAAAAAAAAAAGCCCATGCTTGTTTTAACCAATAGCTGAGCGCAGCTGGTCTGGCATCAGGTTGTAAGCATTTCATCCAAATCTGTTTTGAAACCTGACAGCCCTGCTCTGTGCTCTGAGCTAGCAGATTGCAAATTGTGGTAGGGCACAGTGGCACGTGAAACCACAGTGGCTATGTCTACCATCTGTTGGGCACAGTTGCCTCCCCGACAGATTAGAGTGCTGCAGCTGGGTGTAACTTTCAGCTCAGACTTATTTTTTTTTTTAATTAATAAATGCAGGATGGCAAGACAATGTAATTGTCTACGTGCATTTTCTTGGGGATTGACTCTATTGAATGCGTTGGTAATTTAGAATGTAGCTGATTTGGCTAACCTGGAAAAGGTTACCCAGGGTGAGTTCTCAGATGCTCTAGGCTAGATAGGGCAAATTAAACAAAAAGAACGCAACACCCAAGGAGAATGCAACAACACACCACGTCTGCAGGGCTACAGATAAAATTGCACGACTTGTTTCTTTTGGGCGAAGCTGTGCGATGGATTCTTTAAAGTCATAGGAAGTTGCCCTGGCTGAAGATGGAAAGGAATTTCCCAGGCTTATTTTCCCGAAAAATAATCCTCTAAAATCCCACCGTGTCTTTAGAGCCACCGGAAATGGCATTGGGTGAAAGTTTTGAGAAACAAACTCTTAAAGGAAGATGTTTTGCCCTAAGATTTATTTATTTTTTTTTAAAGTAGGCGCACTCTGAATCTGAGTCACATGCATCAGGAATGCTGGCCCCGTTTCTGGGCAAGAGAATGACAGAAAAGGCTGCTTTCCAAGGAAAAGATTCTTCTGAAACTGCGTTTGATTTGCATGGGAAAGCCCTGTTTCTCCCTGATTTCCCCATGCAAATCCTGGAAGAGACTCTCTCTGTTTACAGCAGAAAAAGACTTGAGTTAACATTTCCCCTGCTATTGAAAAATGCCGATCATTATAAGCCACCCATACTAATTTTTTTTAAAAAAACTGCTTATTCAATCTAATGCCACGCCCAGCTGTGCTTATTATACCAATATCAATAAAAAGCCCCCACCCCTTAAATCTTGAAATAACTCCGCTTTGCACATTTCAAACTTTAAACTTTTTCCGTACAATTCACCTCTGCTCGTCAGAAGAACCACAGTGGAAACGCAGCAAATGTTTGTTCAGGAACTAAATGAAGCAAGACTGACTTGGCAGAATATCAAGGCTGATTTTCCTGGAAGGGAGTGACCGAACTGACTGTACAGCAAACCTGTCACTTCCTGGTCTGTTTTCAAGGACAAATGCAGTTGGCTACTTGGACAGTACCTACGCAGAAAGCAAAAAAAAAAAAAAAAGTTCCAAGTACAGTCTTTTTTTCCCCCACTTCCTTAATTCTTTTGCCCACCCCATTATTTAAAGTTAGCAAGGAGGGAGTGACAAAACAACTTGGGCACGGAAGGAGAGAATATTTACAATGATTATAAAGGGTGGTGATCTGAACGGCATCATTTCAGTTCTATGCAAGTCATGTTTATTCATATACGGAAAGTCCTTGACTTACAACCATTCGTTTAGTGACCAAAGTTACAAGGACACGAAAAAAAGTGACTTAGGGCTGGTTTTCACACTTGTGATCGTTGCCGCATCCCCGTGGTCATGTGATCAAAACTTGGTTGCTTGGCAACTGCCCTGTATTTATGACAGTTGCACTGACCTGGAATCATGTGATCGCCATTAGTAATCTTCCCAGCCAGCTTCAGACAAGTAATGTCACTGGAAGAACCCAAAATCACTTAATGACTGCATGATCCACTTAGCAGCTGCAATGATTCATTTAACAACTGTGGCAAAAAAGGTTGCAAAATGGGACAAAGCTCATTTAACAACTGTCTTGCTTACCACTGAAAATTTGGGGCTCAACTGTCATAGGTCAAGGACTTAACTTGTATTTGAAAGATCATCCTGTGCCATTTCCCCATTAGAATGGGGTTAGTTGCATTGCATCTTTTAGGAAAACAATACCCCTTTAGACCTCTTTTAAGAATTTACAAAATTCTTCTAGAATTAAAGACCCCACTGCTGGAAATGTGCATTGCCCTGAAACCCTAACTCAAAGGTCACCTAAGGCCAGTCGAACATCCTTTCCCTCAGTTGTTTCATATTTTTTCTCTAACTAGAGAAACAAAATATTTCTTGTGGGCAGTGCCCTCTCATCACTCCAGGATGGCCCAGTTTCTTAGGATTTAGTAAACTTCCATACGCAGCTAGATTATTTGTGCACACAAAACAAAACGTGGAATGTATTGCTAATAGACCCACCGAGGTAAGACAACAGAATATTATAAGGCAGTATTTTGTCTGCAAGAAACGAAAACACCTTCACTGCAGTTTGTACAAAATCAGAAGTGTCTTCTAAGTAAACATATGGACTTTCTGGATATACATTTAAGGTTTGGGCAGAAAATGGCTTCCCATTCAATACAGTATATTAATTTGAGGAATGGCAACAGGTAGTATGACCCTAATTATAACTTTTATAAATAACTCCTACCTCCACCCCAATAGAATTGAAATACTAGATAATTAAATATACTTATGGGATTTCTATGTCACAACATATTTGGAGGCACCAGACTGAATTCTGACTCAGGTCTTTTCTCCTGTCTGATCAGCTCTCTTGAGCATGATTCTTTGGTCACTGCTATAAACTATATGACATGAATGGCTGATTTCACCATCATAACTTGGTTTTCACCAAAGTTTGTTGAGTAAGACAGAGTGGCTTGTTTACACATAATATTAAGCTACAATCTATGACTTCCAATCTCAGTTACAAGTAGTCCCCAACTTACAACCATTCATTTAGCCATGCTGGCTCAGGAATTCTGGGAGTTAAAGTCCACGAGCCATAAAAGAGCCAAAGTTGCCTACCCCTGATTTAGTGACTATTTGAAGTTACAATGGCATTGAAAAAAGTGCTATATGACCTGTTTTCCCACTTACAACCATTGGAGCATCCTCATGATCATGTGATCAAAATTCAGGCGTTGGCAACTGGCACGTATTTATGACAATTGCACTGTCCTAGGGTTACGTGATCACCGTCTGTAACCTTCCAAGCCAGCTTCTAATAAGCAATGTCAATAGGGGAAGCCAAATTTGCTTAGTGACTGCATGATTCATTTAACAATTGCAGTGGTTCGCTTAACAATCGCTGCAAAACAGGTGATCAGATGAGGCAAAACTCACTTAACTGCCTTGTTTAGCAACAGACATTTGGGGCTTAACTGTGGTCATAAGTTGATGACTACCTGTCCTCAACAGCCATATTATGGCTTGATATAAGATATGAATCTAGGCTGATCCTTTCAACCTTCTGACACAGAATTTTACTTGGTGTGACATTTCCCCAGAGGCAGAATGGGTGTTGTTTATTTTGTTTGGATTTTTAGCCATAGTTGTACCTCCTCTCTCTCCTTCCTTTCTTGGGAGAGATGATGCATAAGCTGTTGATGGATTAATAGAGATGGCTAGAAACCATATTTCTTCTTTTTCCTCCAGAAGGATTTGGGAAAGGTTAGCATCCAGGGTGTCCCTGAAGCCAGGCTGCTGGCCAAAAAGCAATCCACTCAGTTCATAGATCTCCTTCTGTGTAAAGAAAGACCAGCTGTTATCAAACTGCTGTAT